GATTAATGCCAGAGAAAATTAACTGTACCTTCGGGTATATTCTACCCACGAGGGCACAGAGCAGATTAATTCGAGAGAAAATTGATTGTACCTTCGGGTATATTCTACCTACGAGGGCACAGAGCAGATTAAATCGAGAGAAACTTAACTGTACCTTCGGGTATATTCTACGCACTAGGGCACAGAGCAGATTTAACGCGAGAGAGAATTGACTGTACCCTTTGGGTATATAAGTGAATGAAGAAAGTAGTCACGCAAGAGTGAGAAAGCACAGAAATTTTTCTTTTCGTGCTTTCAAACCAGGCGGGCTATGAAAATAGAGGGGCTGATTGTAGCTTAACGGCTAGAACCCGATTTTACAAGCCTGTGAGCATAATCTATCTTGCTTTCATGCCAGCGCCATCGGCGAAGCTCTTAGCTATGTTTACAATCGGCTCTCGTGAAGCAAGAGATTTTACTCGCAAGCTAAGAATTACCACTTTCCAGCAGGAAGCAGATTTTCGGTTTAAAGGACGATTTGTAAACCCTTTGCAGAAATTATGTCGGCGCAACGACCCAACAATGCGATAGGTTAAGATAGCTAGACTGCTGGGAAAGTCGCTTTGCGCTACCAATCAGTATGTTGTCACAGACTGTATTTTACCTGCAAAATGAAGGAATGACTGAAATATTTCGCACCAGTGCTTTCCGAGGTTCAATGCATGGATAACAGTAGAAGAGATCGATCGTCTAACACAACACAATAATGATCGCGCCTAAATGATACGAACTCAAATACATTATGCATTCTTCCCACGTGCTTCAGTGAAACACCAATGAAAAATTAATTTGGTAACTCTTAACTTATTACTCTTCAACACCAATCAAATCTACATGCACATAATACCACGTTTAAGATTTGGCCGACGAGGGAGACGAAATAGGCACAAGCATAAAAGGTTTTTAATGCTCGCGAATGGTAAATCTGGAAAACGATTTAGATGTTTATTCTGTCGTGTACCGGCATCTGTCTTATGTGCAATTAACATTTTACAGCAGGATATCATTCCACTTAACACCTCCCGTGTTACCTAGCCTCAAGATC